TAAATGATGAGCCATCGGTAAGACTCCTTTCTCTTTGGCATTTGCTTCAGAAGCAATCATTCCTTCTAAATGTCATCGTGCCAAGTATCAGCACTCTACTACTAAGCATTGAGCAGAACAGTAAAGAGATGGCCACAAGCTTAGATCTGGCAGAGGAGAAGAGCGAGCAGACCATCACCCGCATTGTAGCTTACCAGCAACAACTCCTCTCCAGCTACAACAAAATGGCCAAGATCTGGCAGTTCCAACCCAAAGATCTAGTCCTAAGAAAAGCCTTCATCACTGCCTACAGATAAAGCTTCAAAAAGATGGATTTCATCTGTACAATATCAACAAAATAGGCAGCAATGGTAGTTACATCCTTACCACCATGAACGACAAAGAGATCGAAAAGTAGTGGAACACCTACAATCTGAGAAAGAACCATATGTGACCTCCCGCCACATCAAAGCCTGAAGACTCAAGCAGCTCGACGGGTACCACCTCACAAGTTCCTACCTTATAGCTAAGTTTTTGTTCGTTTCACTCATTTTCCAATTAGGAATTCAGAAGTAATCAACAACTTGGCTCGATTGCATGCTTACAACAACTGATCACTCTTGCACTTCAAAAGAAAACCACGTTTTTCTTAGAGACTTATCGCAGGAATTGTGCACCCCAAGGGACCAACCATGCTCTCTAGTGCGAGAGAGTAAACCAATTTCCCGACACCCATATGGGTCTGTTCTCTAAGGCAGGAGGATAAACTTACACTCCGAATATCCAGACGTAAATGAGCTAGGGTGCCTTGGTATAACTAGAGACACGATGGCTTGCACTGGGATTCTTAGAAGTAGCCACAATGGTCTTTTTCAAGGCTTAGCTAACTGAAGGATTTTGGGTCTCTTGGCCTAATCCATGGGGAACTGGGCCTCAGAGACGGAGGTGGCACATTACGCAGTACACCCTATGGATGGCTGTCTTGGAACCCTAAAGCTGTTACCGAGTGCACTAAGGTAGCCTACGGTTTCCAAAATATTGCTTATAGATTGCCCTTCGAGCAGTAAAGCCACGCCAGACTTATACAACCGCACATTCTTGTGAAAAGTTAAACAAGCTAGCGTGCATATACGAAGTTTTATCCACTACTGACATGCTACGTAGTCGATAATCTTCATATCTGCCAAGCGTGAAATGACCTACACCAAGTTCTAAAGTGTTATGATACTTGCTACGCAACCTACGAAATTGGAAAAAAACCAAGGTTAACAGCCTAATGGTCACGCGGACTTGTTTACTTCTGTAAGTAGGGTGTTCGGCTGCAGACCCTATGGCTAACAACTTTGCAAAGTTCTACACCAACACCTACAGCTGCAAAGGCTATGCGGCCTATCTGATTATAGAAAAGTAACACGCATGCCATTGGTTTATAAAGTCTAAAGGTTAGGGCATGAACAAAAGAAATGAAGATGGAGAAAAGCAAAAAAAGCAAGTTTATTAAATTACCTAGCAAAATTGATAAACGACCAGCAAAGACCGAAATAGTTCAAGCAAAGCAAAAGCAACAAGGAAAACAAATAACATACTAAAGACTACATAGAAGACTACTCCTCAGTTGCTTGGACACTCCACGACTACTCGGTCGCCACACCTTCAGCAGTCGCAGCATCATCCAGCGCTTCATCCCCAGCTGCCCTAACCTGGGCACTAACTTCTTCAACTATTTCATCAATGGAAGCCTCAAAAGTAAAGGTAAGAAAGTCTTCTAGAGAAATATGAAAGGTTTCGAAGTCTTTCCCAGCAAACTCGAAGTCAGACGGCCTACCAAATAGATGATCTACATAACCCAGCTTGTAGAAATCGGCATGACTCTAAACAAATGAAGACTCGAGCCCAACCTTTTCACCCTTCAGTTGCTCGTTCTTCTCAAGCAGACCAACACGGGCACATTGCAGCTCGTCCATTTATTTCTTCAAACTTTCGTTGATCTTCAGCGCACCTTGGAGTTCCAACACTTGGGGTTTATCAACGACTTTCTTGAAGTGGATCACTTGGTCATAAGCAGTAATCAACTCTTCATCCTTTACATAAACAGCAGAACAAAGCTCAGAAACGGCACACTTAATATCTTAAATCTGAGGTATGTAACATCTGATATCCTTCTCTACACTTTTATACTTAACTTGGATCACGTCAAGCCTAGTCTTTTAGTCAACGATCTTTTGGCGAGCGATCTCAAGCTGCAGAGATATTAAACCCCTTCAAAACGACGAGCTCATATTCCAACCTCTTGATCTTCTCGACAGAAGAATAAGCTTCGGCTGCCACAACCTTTGCCACATCCTTGGCAGCCTTGGTATCATTTTGGTCAAGAAGCATAGACTCAGTTGCCAGAATAGTTGTCTTCTGCATCATGGAAAGTAAGGCAGTCTTCCTATACTCGGTCGTATGCTTCATAAACAACCCCTATAACGTTATCGACAAACTTGGCATAAGCGTCCATGTCTTCAAGCAGATCTGGTTTCAAAAGCGCATAGATCTTAGCAAACTCCCAAGAAACAGGCTTAGTGGATTTCTCACAACTGCTCAAGTGAGCAGTCTCATCATTCCCAGCAGGCGAATTAGTCTTAGTAGCAAAGGGAATGGGCCTTGGCGCCACTTTAGTAGTAGAGTCCACTTTATCGCTCTTCATAATAACAAGTCTCTCCAAATGTGAACCGCACTTAGCTCCTAATGGACGTCTTGGTATAGACTTTGGCACTATGAGCATGACATAACCTCTACGCTAAGCAATCCTATCAACAATCGTACTAGCCATTCTCGACATGGTAGAAGCCACAGGCTCAGATTTAGTAGCCTTATTTTTCTTCCCATTAGAAGAAGTCATGTCAATCACAGGCCTCTCAACAGCAAGTAGACCCTTACAAGCAGTGGAGGAAGTCTTCAGTTTTTTCTCAACTGGCATCTCTTGAGCGGGTGGGGAATATCTTTTCTTTCCACCTTCATTCATAGTAAGCTCCACGGTAGTGATCAGACGAGCCAATGCATTCTTCTTGATCCTCTTTACCTCCTCTCGAGAAAGCAACCCACATTTCTTCTGGCAAAGAAGACTAAGCAGCCAACTCCATTCACGGTGCTCAGCAGGGGAACTCAACCCATACTGGTTTTTCCCTCATTTTTTCTCTCGGACCAGCAGGTAGGAGGCTTGCATGCCTAGCATTCCAACAGCCCATGAAGCTCGCGACCTCCTCATTTCTCTTAATCGCCGGCATGGACCGCGTTAGGTCCAAGAGCCCAAAGGACATGAGCCATGTAGCTTGCCTAGCACTGCGCCCCAACGCCTCAATCTGCGGCCCCAGCTGTACAAGCTGCCCTTGGCTCTAGCCAAGCTGAGCAGCCTAAGCAATGGTTCCTGCCATAACACCTCATCGACCCATGCCGAGCCAACTCCTAGCCCATGTCAACCGACGTGCCGTATCACCCCAACAGTTGCCCCGCAACAGCATTATCCAAGAAGAAACAACGAAAAACGGTCTTTTACACGGGCAAATGTAGAAGATTGCTAGGGGAGGAGGAACAAATATCCTCTAACTTTCTCTTTCTTGTAGGGTAGAATAAATTGATCTTTAAAGTTGATTTAATCATCTACTTAAGGTAGACTTAAATAGACTTTAAAAGTGATTTATTTCCATTTCCTAGAAGGATCTAATTTCCAATTAAAGAGGGAATCTACATCAAAATAGGAAACAATCCTACGTTTCCTAAAGCAAGAAGATCTCTACACCTGCTTCCCTTTCTTGCGAGCAGCCCAACAGGTGTAGGGGCATTTGTGAAGCTAAACATAATCAAGAAAAATATGGAGGCGACACGTGGATTTTTGGGCAAAAAAGACAAGATTACCCTTGAGGCACATCGGAACTCCTATGCACTAGTAGCGGACAATCATCACTCAATCAAGGTCAAAAGTGATCAAAATAGGTATTTATTCAAAATCTATTTCATCAATCCTCATCAAATCCTCCCCACCAGGTAACCTCCAAATATTCATTCAAAATAGGATTAATTACCTAAATTAATTAATTAATTTCCTAATTGATAGCAAGATATTATGGTGACATAATATCTTGCAACTACACCCAAAAACCACCAAATGTGGTCGATTCCCACCTCTCCAAAGGGGGCCGGCCACACCCCTATAAATACCACTTCATTTCTCCAAAAACCTAAGTTGAATCCTCTTGCAAAATTCTCTAATTTCACCAAACACTTTTCCCTAAAAACTATAACTTTGGCACCATAGGTTCTTCAGCCCAAGCCCCCCTTCATCATGGGCGTGTGAGGCTTTTCGGTCAAAGCCCCCCTTCATCGTGGGTGCGTGAGGCTCTTGGCCTTGACCTAAGGTGTTAATTGTTTTTGCAGGTGCATTTTCATCCAAGAATAAGAAGGAAGAAATTTGCATCCACACATACGCCCCAACATGAAACACAAACCCTAATTTAACTTCTAAGTATTAATTCATCTTACAAACAACCCATTTATTCCATAAATCATTGATGAATGAACTTGTAACTAAACACCCTACCTTACTATGCCTGATGAAGCTTTAGCTGTAGGAAAAAATGGAACTTTCCGGCCAAAACAGAAAATATGGTATAAAACCCAGCTCACTCTTCTCACCTCTCTCTCACATCCCTTTGTTCGAAATCAAAAGTATGAGGTGAACCCAATGCCCAACTCACTCTTCTCACTTCTCTTTGGACTTCCATCTCTTCAAAATCAGAGCTCAGAGATCTGAGGAAGGGAGAGAGAGAGTAGAGAGAGTGTGAGAGAAGAGAGAAGAAGGGAGAGAAAGTAGAGAAAGAAAAATCAGAAAATGAGAGAAATAACCCAATTATATGGATATTTTAGTAATTTTGATTTTGTGTATGCTGTGCGTGGCTTGTGCATGACTAGGATGTCGTATTTCTGTTCCAAAATTAAGAAATTGTCTCATTTTAGAGTATTTTGCTAGTTTTTATTTCCCATCTTTTATTATGTTGAATCCTTAGATGGGCTTGGGCCCGTGGTTATATTGAAGAAAAGGCGAACACGTGGCGACCGAAAATCAAAAGAGAAATTATCCCAAAAACAGTTACGAGTTACGAGCTTACGACATCCCTCTCCCCGGTCTTCACCATCAGCTAGTGCCCACCGCCACCGCCGCCTTCGTAAGTTGGTTTTTCATCTTCCAAACACTTGTTAGGAATTCATCCATTTCTTCTTTTGTTCTCTTTCAACTTTTATTTCTACTATTTCTCTTCCTTTAATTTAATTTTTTTTATTCTATTTCTTTCTAGTTTAGGGATATAGGGATTTAGGGTTTAGGCATGGCAGAGCTATGTAATGGAAATATATTGGAAGAAGATTTGCTTTCTTCTGTTGGCTGTGCTTTGATTTGCAATAGCAAGGAATTGGTATCACAAATGAATATTGGAACTTTTAAATTTGATCGCTGAACCACGTCTTATTTTCATTATCTCTAGTTTTGAATGAAGATTTAAAAAAGGGAACTTTGTGCTCCCTCCCTGTTAATTTGATGTGATTTGTAAAGAGGGCCGGATTTTTTACCTTTTTCGATTTTTTATGATATCTTTTGTTGCCAAGAAAATACATGTCTTGCCTTTGTGTCTCTGGAGAAAATCTTTAGTTTTCATTTCTGATTCTTCTGGAAACTGTTGGGCTCAATACTTTATTGATTATGTTTTTTGACTAGTATTTTAGGATTTTTCATGAATTGAGACTTGATTTTGGTTTCTTTCCAAAACTTCACTATATATGACTTAACCAATTACGTAATACAAGAAGTTTTCTATTTTTCAATTCATACTTTGCGTTCTACTTTGTAATTTTTCTTGATTAAAAGGGAAAAACCTAATTGAATTCTCCTCACTTCAATCAAATTCACAGCCTATGGATTTCTTGCATTCAACTTGACAAATGTAGTAGCAATATATAGAGCGTGGAATTGTTTGAATGGAGAATAGACTTTGAAAGAGCGTAAGGTAGCTCTTCTATGATCAGTTAGCTAGGTCCCTTAATTTTTGTGGTGCAGAAATTAGTAGAAGAAAGATGGGTTGGATAAGGTCCTGAAAATCTTGTGTTTGTTAGTTAGGTCTGGTTCTGCATTTCTATTAGTTCAACTTGAAAATGCAAAAACGAATTGGATTTCATGCATGAATGAGTCAGTGACCAGTTACCTCATTATGCATCTTTTGACCAGTGACCAGTGACCATGGGTGTGAATCCATGTATAAGTTATGAAAGTGATTAACACGTTCTGTTAAATTTGAAAAACGTCATAAAATAGGGGGAACTCTACCAAAATTTATTTTGAAGAGTTTGATTTAAAAGTTCTTTGCAAGTGACTACTCAGTTTCTTACATCCCTGTAGGGGGATACCTCAAAAATGTTTCTTCGTTGTTGTTCAGTTTCGTTCAGTATTCGATAAATTTAAAAATCATCCGTATGCATGTGTGTAATGTATATAAGGAGTTGTGTCTTTTTGTGTGTGCAAGTGAATACTCTGTTGTGGGGTAAGGTTCATTACGTCTTCCTAAACCCTTGTGTTTAATTCATTCGCATCGTCTAATTGTTTTAATCTTCTTATTTGGTTCATTTGTATGTTTAAACTGGTTTTGTAAGTTTGGGACATTCTGAACAGACAAACAAGCGAATAAAATATCTATGAAACAGATGTCAACTGGTGATTATATTTTGTAACAAATATATTTATACGTTATATACTGAATATATCTAAACTGTACAGTTAACTCTTCCCCTAAAAACCCTAGCCGCCCCAACTCCTTCATTTGCTTGCTCTCTGTCCCTCTCTCTCTCTCTCTCTCTCTCTCTCTCTCTCTCTCTCTCTCTCTCTCTCTCTCTCTCTTGACAGTTTATTGGTTGATTTATTCTGCTGTATTTTGTTTGGGCAGCTGGAGAATTCTTCTCTTTGGTTGAAGACATGGTGGGTTGGCAGTTGCGTGTACAGTCCCTAATCCGTCAAGTTGGGAAAAGAATGGAGAATTATAGTACTTCTTCTTTTTCTCCTTGTCATTTTCCGAAACTCCAGACACCACCTTCTCAAACCATGTCAATGCCCCTTTATCACTACTGTCAACAGTTGGTAATGCACAAAACTCTTGTGATTTTCTCTTTTCTGCTCTTCTCTTTCCTTTTGTTTTAATTGCCATGTAATTATTGTATTCACTGTTTTCCATATCACAAGGGAATTTCCAGTTCAAGGAACTTGCTTGCAGATTTGTCTGCTGGAGTTGCTCCTCTATCAGCATCAGATGGTGAAAACGGTGAAGAACGGGACCGGAAATCACCTTCTGGACCTTCACAAGTTCAATTTGTCTTAAAGGGAATTAATCAGGTTACCATATTTCACACTTGTTGCATCTTTTTAAATAATGGTTTTTCCTTGGGCTGCTGCTGCGGGTGGGGGTGGGGATGGGGATGCTATACATTGAAATGGGCATACATTTATTCGTTTTAGCTCACTCCCTGCTTGCTTGTAGAGCCCTAATAAGGTCAACTTGGTTGCTAAACTGGTTCGTGGTATGCGTGTTGAAGATGCATTATTGCAACTGCAAGTGACAGACAAGCAAGCAGCAAAAACTGTGCATCAGGTGATAGAGCCCTTCCTTCCACACTTTGTTAAGCTAGGAAGCCTGTTAATTAGATAAATAATCGGTGTGTGTGTGTGTCATTGAGTATTTTGTCTTACAAAATGATATTCATTTCTTACAAATTATAGTAATCATCATGTGAATGATTTAATATTTTGAATAGGATATTGGCTTCGGCGTTTTTTACATAATTATTTGATTATGCTCATCTAGAACTCACAGATGAAGAAATGTCTAATATTTGGATGTGTTTCACAGCCTCTAGAGGTTTTGTATTTTTCCTCTGAGTCATAATCTTTTATAACAAAATATTAACATTAATTAAGACCGACACTACTGTTCACAGGCTCTTCACTCAGCCCGGGCAGATGCAACTTATAATCATGGGTTGGATCCAGAACGTCTTCTTGTTGGTAAATAATGCAAGTGCAGTAATGTTTCCTCTATTTATTGTATTATTTTTCTTAAAAATCAATTCTCATTGTTCTGCATTCTGTCCTTGCAGCTGGGGCCTTGGTTGGAAAGGGATTCGTGGGATTCCGCAAGAACAGACTTTACTACCATGGTAAAAGCAATGATGGAACTAAAGTGAGACCCAATTACCAGCTAACGGTGATGCTAAGGGAGATAGCTCCCGAAGAGGAGGAGGAGATAACCAAACAGAGAGTTAACAATTTTCTCTATCTCAAGAAACGCCTCAGGCTCACGAAGCAGGAAAATAAATTTGTTTCTCACTACGTTACCAGCAATCACAAAGGCAAAGCCGGTACCAGTCAACCAAGCGGTCTGGCTTCGTGAGCAAGCTTTCGTCCCATGCTTGAACATTTTGAAAGATTTTTGAGACACAAATCGAGAGCTCCTCCTTTGTCATTGCAATTCAATAAAATGTCTTGTACAAGTGTGAAAAACCAGAGTGTCAAGAGTAGGATGAAGCGGGCCTTTGTCTCGGTTTCTGTTGTTTTAAATGCTTAGATGTAGAATATCTCAAGTCATTTTTATCTTTAATTGGTGCATTGAGATAATATAGTTCTACTTCTTTCTCCTTTTGCACCATGCCTTTATTTCAGCTAGACAGATGAAGGATAGCACCCTCTACTTCGTTGAAACAGTGGGCGCGGGTCGAGTCGGGTCCATTTTAAGTCGATCTGGCTCAACTTTTTCTTTTCTTTTCTTTTCTTTTTTCTTTTTTTTCTTTTTTTTTTTTTTATTTTGTTTTTATTTATGAAAATGAGTCTGAGCCAGTCTGGACTTATGTGTTTTTGTTAGTGGAATCGACTCATTTGAATCCGTTTGATAATCGTATGGTCCCTACAGGTCGAACGAATCTGTTTTCAATTATATGTTATATAGCAAAACAACAACATTAAACAATCTTTATGTGTTTTTGTTATTAAAAAACTACGGCTAACAAAACCAATACGAACAAATGTTGTAAAGAAATCAAGACTCCATAAATTCAAGGAATCACTAGGGCAACTACAATCACCTTATTGCCCTAACTGAAATAAATCAAAGAAACGCAGTGCAAATGATCTCATGCAACTCAATCTTCAATTGTTTGAAGATGCAATTCCAACCGTTAAAACTCTTTCTTTCTTTTTTCTTTTTACATACAATATTTATCTACACTAAAGGGGTGAGGGAGTGGGTTAAGCCTCACAATGAGCTAGCATAATGTGGTTCAAATTCGCCTTTGGCGAGAATCAAACCTAAGACATGTCACTTATAAGTGAAGAAGAATATCACTAGGCTGTAGTACTAAGGCGAGTTTGGGATTGTGGTGCTTTAAAAAAAACAACTTATTAAAAAATCTGGAACATTAAATGTGTTTGATAAAAAAAATAAAAAAATAAAAAATAAAAAAATAAGCTTTTTTTAAAATCTAATGTCTAAAAAGAAAGCATAGAAAAGAAGCAGGGTCTACATGCTTCTAAAAAAGTGCTTTTTTTTTAAAGCATAGTACTATTTAATGAAATTTTCAAATGACAAGAATAACCCACATTTTACAAAATTACAACCTTAACCCTGTATTATTGTCTTTGACAATTATTATATCACAATAAATACTATATCATTTTTAGTCATTTAACATATTCACAGCAACTTCAAGTTTGAGCCGCTGCTTTCTCTCTCAAAGAAAAGCCCAAAGAGAAATCCTTCCTCAGCCGTCGGCCCTAGCCTTTGGCTTTAGGGTTTGTGGCAGCCCTCAAAACTCTCTTGCTTCCTTTTACTTTCCTTTCTTCTCATCCTTTCCTTTTCTTTAACTATGCTTTTATCTTAGCTTTGTCTCATCTATCTGAGCTTTGGTCTTAGTTTTGTACCCTGTCCTCAATCATCTGTCGCTCACCACGATCATTCTCCTCCCTCCCCATCACACCTTTTTCTCCTACCTCCCTCATGCTGCCCTTCATATTTTCCAACTCAGAACCATGATTTAGATCTCGAAGTGTTGGGCTCTATCTTGACACAAGACTCAACCCACACTGCCCACTGTCGATCTAGCTTACCAGAAAAATTGGGCGAAGTGTGGAACGATTCACGTCGGAACAAGGGTGTTTTACACACCCCATTCGCCCTCCCCCTCCTCCTGTTACGTTTGGTGACTTTTCTTACAAGTGTGGCTATGAAGGCTTTGATTCTTGGTGGATTGATTCTGTTCAAATCTAGGTTTTGGTTCGGGTGCATTTTTTAGGTTGGTGCGATCTCTTTCCTATGCGGAGGTAGCGGCAGTTGCGACGGTGGTGACTGGTTTTTGGCTATTGGAGCTTAGGTTTTTATTGTTTATTGTGTCTTTTGTAGCCTACGGGCCTAAATCTATGTGGGTCTCCCTTTGAGGCTGGGATTGTAGCTCTCTTTGTTTGGTCTTGTCCTTTATCTTGTCCTTTATCTTATGTTTGCTTTGTTGTGTAAGGCTTTGTGCTATGTTCAAGTTTAGGCCTTTCTAGAACAAATTGTATCTCCTTTTCATTAATGAAGCTTTATTCCGGGCAAAAAAAAAAAAAAAACATATTCACAGCAATTTACAGTAAAATTTATCAAACATTCAATAACTTTATTTTTACAGCTGTTTATTTTCACAATATAGCAGAAACAATTTATTTTTATTTTTATTTTAAAAAGCACAATAATATCAAACTAATCCTAAGTGGCTTACTTGAACCATTTTAAAAATTATAAATAAGAACCTGATTTCACATCGGACCGGATGAACGGTCCGCATCGGTCCAAAGACCCGCGTGACCATCCCTGCCTCCATCCCCCGCCCAAATCAAATTGAAACTCAAAGTCTCTTCAAATTCTCCCCGCGCTGGAAAAATCTCATCTCCTCCACGAAGCCACTACACAGGCGCGCGGCTCTTGAAGCAGATACGGCCACGAAGCCACTTCAATTTCTGCGAAGCTTCACTGTAGGTATACGTTTCCGATTTTCCACTCTCACTTTCCCTTTAGAATTTTGTGTAAAACCCTGTTTTCGTTAAGTCATTTTTCATGATGCAGCTCGGATTTAATTTACTGTTAAAACATATTTGTGGTGAAATTGAATTACTTGTGGTTCGTATTTTGTGTGGATTTAGGGTTTTTGCCTTGCAATCTTTTGTGTGCGCGCGCGATGGGGACGAAGGAATTGGACATGAAGAAAGCCTTCAAGTTGGCCATACGTTCTCTGCTCACTCCCTGTTCCAAGCAGGTGTCTTTTTCTCTTAACAATTTCTTCTTCTTTACAGTGATTTGTGCTGCGTTGCGTCTGCGATTTTCTTTTTAATTCTATACTTTTGAGTAAGCATTTCTTCCTCGCGGATTCGTAGTTTGACTGACTTTCTTGTATGATGAATTGAACACATAAGGAATTCTGCCAAGCATTTCCGAATTTTACATTTGCAGAGCAAGAACACCTTCATAAGCTTTTTATCCAGGTGCATATGAATATATATTTATCATTTTACAATGGACCTACATATTTTGTTTCTTTTCTCCACAATTTCTATGTGCAATGATTTGTATGTATTATTCAACTGGAGATTTTTCTCTTTTATTTTATTATTTCGAATTTAAAATAAGAACAATTGCTCTTTCGTTTATTCAGGTCATCGCTTCTTTGCATGGAAATTTAGAGGTACTCCTTGTCTTACCAATTTGCACTACTAACAATGGTTTCGATTTAAAGATATGGTTGAATTGTCTGTATCCGTGGCTCTTAGTCTCAACAGGACTATTAATTTTTTTGGGAAAGTATAGTGTAGGGGACTTATTTCTGTGCACATTGATTTTGTATTTTAGCCGCTAAGCATTTTTTAAAGTAATGATAGTTGATAACGGATTGACATATGATATTTAATCATTCATAACAAATGCAATTTGAATTCCAGCCAGCTTATAGGTTGTTAAGCGAACCAAATTCATTTCATTGGTGAGGATTCATGACCTAGTTGAATGAGAAATAGTATCTGCACTTTCTGGCTCATCTGATTGATGAACAAAGTGTCCACAAGCACCACTTCTATGTTTCACTCAAAACAGCTTATAAACAGAATTTTTTTGGACTCTCTCCCTCAACATGAGACATGATATTTATTTATGTATTTATATGTCATAATGTATAATTTATAATGCTATAAGATGATTTCTGAACTTCCTTTTAATTTTACAGGACGAGTTTCAGTCAGCATGCCTTGAAACACAGGTATACATATTAATATTTGCTGGTGATGTTAGTGCGCAGTTACTCCATTTAACAACTTACAGTATGTAGGTTCTTCTGTGCCATTACGAGACAAGTTATTTCCTAAATTAGAGAGAGTATGTTGTAAGTTAGGGAGGTCACTTTAATTAGCCCAAGCATATATTCTGGTGTCTAAAGCCTGCTGGTTGTATTAAGAGTTCCAATTGGGTCTTATAGTTTATTTGCGTCTCAATTTATACGTAATTCATGAATTTCTTTTCAGCGTGTCTGTGTTGAAATGATTGCAGCTTTATTGTAGAGGTAATTTAGCAAGAAATGTTCACGCCACTCGATGAGCTATCACCACTATTTAAATGGTCGTTTAGTTGGAAATGAATACATCAGCTTTGACATGTTTTTCTTTTTATTTATTTTTATTTTTTATAAAAATGTTATGGTTTTAATAACAGGAAAAAGGATGATAACTGGTTTCAGTGCAAGTTATTAAAATTGGGGTCAGTTCTGATATCAGAAGACAGTGCGGATGAAAAATTTAGTAAAAGAGAATTATCAAGGACAGAGAAAATAGAAATACATTTAGTTATCTGTTATCGACATGCATCTGCTGTGCCTTTGACTTAGCAGTTTCAACGAAGGGTTTTATGACAAGAGGGAACTAATGGTGGCTTATTGATGATTCCTAAGACCTAATTCATTTATGTTTTATGGAGAGAGTTGCCTAACTTGGTTGAAGTTCTAAAGTTATTGTTTTATGCAAGCAAGAGGAAGTATTTCTCTAATTGTTACCAATTTTGACATTATTACAATCTTTAAGGGAATCACATGTTTAACAGACAGAATCTTTAGATGATTAATGTTGAGTAAAGAACACTACAATTTGTGGCTATATGATGTCCCTTATGTGTTTGTACACAGTATACATTTAGAAGTATTAAGCAAATTAACCATGCACTGATGTTTTTTTACTTAACTATTAGTTCAAGATTCTCTTGTTTTAACTTCTTAGATACAAATTCATCATTGTATTTATTATTTGCACCCAATATATTTTCTTTTTATACGTGGTCTCTTTTTGCTCACAGGTGGGAACTGTTCTGGACACCGTTGAACAACTTGTGGAAGAACAAGCTATGGATCCTTTGTCTTCAGATAAGTAAGTATCTTCATGATTCTGTAAAAATGTATTTAGTTATGGTCTCCTTTGTAACACCTTCTCCATAGACAAAAATTAAAAAGAACAAGAAACCAAGTTTTGGTTGACTGCTCAATTGCCAAGAACCGTATGTGTACTCTAGTTTTCTTCTATTTCATTTTTAGATTGATAAATCATTATTGACGTAATGCAATATATGCCACCATGTTTCA